TCTTTCACCAGGTGGGGGAAGTTTTCTGTCACTATTTCTTTCTTTCAGTATGTTTTTGGTATCTTGCTCTCTCTCTTCTTCTGGGATCCCCATAATTCTGATGTTGGTTCACTTGAAATTGTCCCAGAGTTTTCTTACATTATTTTCAACTTTCTGGATTCTCTTGTCTTCTTGCTTCTGTGGAGGAGTGTCCTCTGGCTCTTTGTGTTCTAAATCTTTGTCTTGATTTTTGCGATCTGCCAGTCTGTTTTTAGGACTTTGTGTAATATTTTTTATTTCAAAGAATGTTTTCTTCATTTCTAGTTGATCCCTTATTATTTCTCGTTGCTCCCTTTTCATATCCCATAGGTCTCATTTATTTTATCGGCCTTTTTAAAGATATTCTTGAATAACCTTATAACTGTAGTTTTGAACTCAGTGTCCAATCTTTTCTTTTCCTCCATCTCCTTCCTTTGTGTCCTGCCTCTTGTCTGCATTTTAGTTGTTTCCCTGATTTGATGGAATAGTTTTGTGTGCTAGGTGTTCTGGTAGAGCCCAGTAGCACAGCCTTCCCAGTTAGCGGCGGTGGACAGTCTTGGTGTAGCCCTTTGTGGGCTGTGTGTGCAGTCTTGTTGTTAAGCCTTGCTTATTGTTGGTATCACTGGGAAGTGTTGATCTCCAAGCCAGTTGGCTGTGAGGATCAGCAGTGTCTCAGCTAGGAAGGCTTCTGTACTCCGCTTGGATAGGGCGGGGTCTCGGGGTGGTGCAGACAATCTTTGGTTCCCTGTCAGTCTCGCCTTAGAAAAGACCTGTTCTCGGAGAGTTTTGGAACATTGGTCGCAGGCACGCGCACCTCTTTGGTAAAGGCGCAGACAAGCTTTGGAGTCTGGCCAGTCCTTCCTTAGAGAAAGCCAGCCTCTGGGAGAGCTTCTGTGCTCAGCTTGGATGGGGCGGAGTCTCGGGTTGGTGCAGACAAGCTTTGTTTTCCCTTCGGCTCCTCCCCAAATCTCGCAGTAATGGCCACTGGCTTCACACACCTCTGAGAGATCTCTGCCCACTGCCTGACAGTCTGGCCTCTCCCTGACTGGGGCAGTCTATCAGAGCAATAGGCTGATTCTGTTTTCCTCTCAAACAAGAAAGCCAGCCGCGTTAGCTGTCCGCCCTCTCCGCGCCTGGATTAAGCCAGCATGTTCTCCGCACCTTCACAGTTTCTGAGGGTCCGCGCGCCTTCTCACTCCTTCCCAGATGACAGAGCCTCCTCTCAGCTAGCCATCCGGCCCTTCAGGGCAATGCCTCCCCTGTTTTCCTGTTCTAAATTCCAGTTTGTTGTGGTAGGCTGCATTCAGGTGTCTACCCTATGCCGCCATCTTGGTTTCCTCCCTCAGTTCATATATTATTATTATTATTATTATTATTATTATTAGAAGCCTGGTGCACGAATTTGTGCACAGGTGGGGTCCCTTGGAGTTGGCCTGAGGGGATCGGCCGAAATTCAGTCCAACGCAGCCTGCCGCTCCTGCCTGCCATTCCCACCCATCCCAGCCCTGCTGCGCCGGCCTCGGCTCCCAGCCAGTCAGCCCTGCCTGGGAGAGGCTCTCACTGCAGCGGCCCTGCGTCTGGTGCCCATCCTGAGTGGGAGGTGCCAGGACACACTGCGGGGGGTGCCTTACTGGCCCAGGATCTGATTCTGTCCCACTGACCTCGTGCCGGTTGTCAGGAGCCACCTGGCAGCCACTTTCATATCCTTTCTTCCTTGCCGAGCATGTAGGGAGGGGAAGCGGCCACAGTGCCTGAGGCTGGCAGTGCTGTCGGGACCAATCATGCCAGCCAGGCCAGTCCATCGGGGCCTGGCCCGTTCTCCCAAGATTGGGCCTGCAGGACTAGAGAGAGTGGCTGCCACCAGGATGAGTGGGTCAGCTGAGCGGCGCTCCCACTGTGAGAGCACACTGATGACCAGAGGCAGCTTCTGCATTGCATGTCTGCCCCCTGGTGGTCAGTGTGCATCATAGTGACCAGTTGTTCAGTCATTCGGTCACTTAGGCTTTTATATATATATAATTTTTTCATATATGTTTATTGATTTCAGAGGGGAAGGGAGAGATAGATAGAAACATCAATGATGAGAGAGAATCATTGATCGGCTGCCTCTTGCATGCCCCATTCTGGGACCAAGCCTGCAACTCAAGCATGTGCCCTTGACCAGAATCGAACCTGGGACCCTTCATTCTGCAGGCTAATGCTCTATCCTAGGGGTGTCGAACTCAATCAGAGAAGGGGCCAAAATCTAAAATCCAGCCTAAATCGCGGGCCGAATGGTTTACTGAACAGTCATAAACTGTCATTGTGATGGAAACGCAGCGGAGTGCAGTGATGACAGCGCGGTGCGGGCCACATTGCAAGGCCTGGCGGGACGGATTTGGCCCACGGGCCTTGTGTTTGACACATGTGCTCTATCCACTGAGCCAAATCAGGTAGGGCTTATTTTTAATTCTCCTGCAAGGATATCAAAAGGAATTACCCACCGTTTGTGTATTACTCAATTATGTATTGGAAGATTGTTATTTTTATCAACATAATGCATGCATCTAATTTACAAAGTTAAGGCTTTTAAGGAAAAATAATAACTCCCTAAAATCTTATAGCTGTTTATTTGTTCAGGAACTTCTAGATAACCTGCTTACTCTGTATTTATTGGTTCTTTTTCTCTTTTTACATTAGATTTGATTGAACTATATGAAATTGACAATAGTCAACTGTTAGAGCTGTAAAATGACAATTTCATATGGTTCAACCTAATACCTGTTATTTTGACTTCCTATTGCTTGTCCAGCTGATTATGTGTCATTGGCGTTGGCTCATTTCGTTTGTGAATTGTGGCTTTGCACTTGCCCTTCATCTGACCTGGCTTGGGGATCAGACCCCACCAGCTCAACCATAGCTACAGGTTCCCCGGACCAGGAGCCTTGTGCCTGTGTAAGACACGGACTGTAGGATGGGAGGTGTTTGCTGTGGCACCTGCCCCCCTAGGGCAGCTGGGGTGCCAGGCCTTGAGGGCTTCCTGGACTTGGTCTGCTCTACTGATGCCCACGGAGCCTGAGTCCTGTGCCCACTGGCACTGATGCATGGCCTGCAGGTCATGGCCGTGAGTCCAGCTCCCCCTGTAAAGTTTTAGACCAGTTATTGAACCCCTTGTGCCTTAATTCTCATCATCCTTCCAGACAGGCTCCCGAGGTGTCCTTATCCTGAAGCCATTGCTGGCCTTGGCCCTGAGCTCCTCCAGGTCACTCTGTGCTCTCCTTCCTGTCCGGTGTGAGAGCGGCTGCCCAGGATTGGGGTCTCAGGGTCAGCGGCCGAGATCCCAGGCTCAGCTCAACCTCTTATCTGCTCCAAGACCCTAGCCGGCGCTCCCCTGCTCTGGGCTTGTCTCCCCACCTGTGCCAGGCGGTGGTTGGTGCTGATAGTCTGAGAGGCCTCGGTGCCTGAGAGCTGTGGTGTCTGCACTGGTGGCCCCTCTCCTGGTCCTTCCATGGGGCTGGCCTGCTCCTCTGCCCCAGGCACTGGAGGTCTCGGACCACATGGGCTGTAAGACTGTAGGTCCAGCATGTGGGGACCTCGGCAAATCCCAGTTCTGCTCTGGCCTCAGAGGGATGGTAGCTGCACGTCTATGGTTCACACAGGAAAGAGCTGGTGCACACAGCACCGTGCCCCGTGCAGGGAGGGAGGAGCACTCGTCAGACGTCACAGAAACGAATGTAAAACTGCAATTTGGATGAGTTTATGCTGCCAAATAGAGATTAATGGGGCCAAGATACCGTCTGGGGCAGTGGTCGGCAAACTGAGGCTTGCGAGCCACATGCAGCTCGCAAGTGGTGGTTTGCCGTTGTTCCGTTGACTAGTGAGTTTGCCGACCACTGACTTAGGGAAAAACACTTAAAAAAACACATTTTAACCCTTTGCACTCCGAACCATTCTGGACATTGGCTACCAGCTACTCGACGCTACTTTGCCGCGGACACGTGCGTTGAATTAACTCAATTCCCCGTAATCACTAGTAAACTGCAATGTCCCCCCTGAGAGGGGCATCCGAGTGATATGCTAGAATTCCGATGTCCCCTGAGAGGGGACAGCAGAGTGCAAAGGGTTAACAATGTACTAATGTCTTTAACCTGAAGTCAGAGCTGCTGGGGAAGAGGAATGCCTTACGCGTGGTCGGCAACCCATTAGTTAACAGAGCCGCAAACCGTGGCTTGCAAGTTTGCCGACCACTGGTCTGGGGCACATGAGTGGGCTTCTCTGAGGAAGACCTTCCTGAGGTCTGAGGGGGCCAGCAGGGGCTGACCAGATGGAAGTGGAGAGAGCGGTCCAGGCAGAGGAAACAGCCAAGACCCTGCAGTGGGAGGGAGAGGCCAGCGTGGCTGGAGCAGAGGCCGGTGGGACGGGAGCCGCGGCCCTCACTCCACAGCAGGACCAGGTGCCGGCTGGCCGGGAGGGGATCTGCACCCCCTGGCTCTCCACAGCCACAGGAACCAGCCTGTATTGAAAAGCAGCCTCTGGCTGTTAGGGAAAATGGCCTGAGGGAAGGGGAGGTTTGAGATTAGGAGGCCCAGGGACTGCTGATGATGACAGTGGCTTTGTCCAGGGTGGGAACTGTTAAGATGGGTGGAAATGGGTGGATTTAAGAGCTTAGGAGGTAGAGCTGTGTATGTGGGAGAAATATCAGGCGATCCTGTGGCGGAGCACCTGGAAGGCCTGGGTTCCCAGTGGGGGAAACTGGTTTGACAGGGTGCATCCAAGAGCCTGCGGGTACCCATGAGGAGGTCTGGCTGCAGAAGCACCAGTCGAGTGCAGAGGCTTGGGAAGGAGCTGTGGACAATGTGGAGGGCGGGAGGGCCCTACGGGCACTTCTAAGGTGCCAGTGAGACCTTGCAGAGTCAAGTGTAGATCCCGAGGCGGGAGGGTCTCCCCAACTCCTGCCTAGCTCCTCGAAGCCTCTCACTCTCTCCTCTCTCCCCCCCGCACAGATCCTGCTGATTTCTGACTACTTCTATGCCTTCCTGCGGCGAGAGTACTACCTCACTCATGGTCTCTACCTGACGGCCAAGGACGGCACAGAGGCCATGCTTGTGCTCAAGTAGGCCAGGCCGGGCACAGGGCTGCACGGACTTCAGGGGGTGGACCGGACCGGCCAGAAGCTGGGCCAAGCCCTCGAGCCGGAATTGCCAGCAGGCAAGTCCTCAGGCAGATGAGGTTCAAGTCCAGGGTCACAATCTTGGCACCAGAGGAGAGCCGCGGCCGGCAGGCCTGTGGGGCTCTGCCAGGCGCACCTCCACTTGGACCCACGGGAGCCGGCTCTGCGCACAAAGGAGCCCCTCCCGGACAGGAGAGGGGAGGAAGCAGGGAGCAGGGTTTGTTAGGCTGTTGACTTAATAAATTTTTTTTGGTATGAAGTCTACCCTGGGCCCACACTGCACTCCTGGAAGGTGTGGGCCCCTGATACCACCGTGGTATACGACACAGGGTGTGGGTTTCCAGAATGAACCCACGTCCGCAGAACCAGTGTGCATGGTGAGCCGAGATGGCGGGGGACAGCCACCAGCAGCCCTCCCACCCCCCAAGCAGCTGGAGGCAGACTGGCCTGAGCAATCTTTATTCTGCAGAGGGACAGTGACCACAGATCCATACACCATGTCAGACAGGTGAGCCAGGGGCCAGTCCTTCAAGGGTGGGTGGTTCCAGGCAGGAAGCAGAGCCTCGGGCGGGGGAGGGGCAGACAGGCAGGGGCCTAAAGTAAAAAAGACAAACCAGACAGAGCAGGGGTGGCGGGGCTGCCCCCCACCGTCCCTCAGCCAGCACCCAGAGGGGCAGCCCTAACATGGCAGGCCCAGGTCCGCGGAGCAGAGGCGGAGCGGTTGGCGGCCCCTAAGGGGTAGCATCCCCGCCCGCCCGCCCCCAGGGGCAGAGGAAGCTCCGTTCGGGAGCCGGGAGCCCCCTGGGCAGGGCCTGGCGGGGCCTCCCTCTGCCCTCCCAACCCCTCCCCCTACTGCTGGCTCAGAAGCCGAAGGTTTCCTGCGAGGCGTAGACCATGTAGAGGAAGCCGTCGTCGTCCTTCTCCTGCTCGTAGATGTCCGCGATGGGCGTGGACACGCTCACCATGCTGTGCTGGTTCACCAGCAGGAAGAAGGCCTGCGTGGGGTTCAGCTGCAGGCGGCGCCTGGCGGGCAGGAGGGCGACAGTGAGGGGCTTGGCTCCCTCCCCAACGATCCCCTGACTCCACACCCATCCCTGACCTTGAACTTTCCCATCCTCGCAGAGGAGGGACCCAGTGCCCATCCTATGGCCACTCCCACTCAGGAGGCCCGGCCCGGCCCCGCAGGACTCCAGCCCCCTCTGAGGACGGCTGCCCGCGCACCGGATGATCTTGACCAACTCGCTCATGTTGACGTGGTCGGGGACCAGGAACTTGGTCTTGTCCAGGACGGGCAGCTGCTTCTCGCCCTTGTAGCGCTCGATGATCACCTGGGACGGGGGCGGGCCGTGAGCGGGCGGGGCGGGGCGGGCTGGCGGGCGGGCGGGGACGGGGACGGGGACTCACCGGGATCTTGCTGGGGTGCTGGTCGCGGATCTGCTGCACCTCCTTACAGCGGTCGGCTGCGGGAGGGGGTCAGGCGGTGAGGCTGGACCTGGGTCCTCCGTGCCCTTCGCCCCGACTGTCCTCGAGGGGCGGCCCGGCCCCACCTCCCCGGAGCCCCCGCCCCCGGCCGTTTGGCAGGCCGGACCCAGGACCGGGTTGGGAGGGCCCCGGCCAGAATCTGCCTCCCAGCTTGGGGTCCGGCGGGGAGCTGACGTCACAGGGCTGACGTCACCTTCGGCTGGAGGTTGGGTCGCGCCCCCAACTCCCCAGCCCCCCACCCCCAGATCGCAGATCGCAGATCGCCCGCCAGGCCTCACCGAAGCTCCGCCGCTGCTTGAAAGGCCGGTCCGAGGGCATCTCGCGGGCCCGGCGGGGCGCAGGCCGGGCTCCGGGCGGGGCGGTGGTGCGGTCCGGGGCGCGGGGGCTCCTCACCTCGCGCTCACGGGCTCGGGCTCACGCTGAGCCCGGCGTCCGAGGCTCCGGGAGGTAACTCGCTCGGGTGACGTCAGGTCACAACATTCCTTAAAGGGGAGGCCGGCGCGCTGCTCCCATTGGGCCGACGCAAAACCCGCCCGCCGGGGCCTTGACGTCAGGGCGCAGAGCCTGGAGTCCCCGCCCGCACCAGGAAGGGGCGGCTCCCGGGCGTCACAGTCGCGTGACGTCACGGCCTGCGTGGCCGCGTCCCAGGCCGGCTGTGCGGAGGCTGGGAAGCCGGGAGGCTGCCGCGGGAGCGGAGTCAGAGCTTCGCGGTGGGGAAATCACATCACGGTCAGGCTGCGGCTCCGCATCCTCTCTTCCTGGCCCTGCCACTGACAGGCACACCCAGGCTGTTAGTCCAGGGCAGTGCGAGGTGCTGAGGATGGCAGAACCAAAAAGTCTGGGGCTTTTGGTTAGAGAACGGTAAAGGCGGGTGGGCGAGATCGAAACATGAAAGAGCAAGTCACTAAAAAGGAACAGAGCTTTTAAAAGAAATCCCTAGAATTTAAAGATAGAGCTATTGACATTCAAGTCTCGATAAGGCAGGCGAGCAGATTGCACACAGCAGAAGAGAATCTCTGAGCTGGAGAATAAACAATTAACTAAGAAACAAGGGGATAAAACGTAAAGGAGGGAGTGGAAAAGTAAAGTGAGAACTCACCTGTCCAATCGGAATTCCAGAAGAGAAGAATATAGTAGAGGCAGTGCCTTAAGAAGAGTTTCCAGAATTGAAGACCAGGATCCTCACATAAAACCCAGAGCCGGATAAATGGGACTAAAAGCACCAGGGCATTTCGCAGTGAATCTGCAGAACCTGAGAGATGGTTCAGTAGATGGGAAATAGTGAGCAGCTAAACGGGTAAACATGTAAGTCATCTAAACAAGCGCCTAATTAGAACATGAATGGCGATGATTAATTTGTGGAGTGCAAACAAGGAGCATGAAACAATAACAAGTCGGGCGAGGGGAATCAGAGCGCAGGTGTGCTAAGAAGCTTGGTTTGTTTGAGAGGAGGAACGGGAGGAGAATGATAATTGTGCAGTTTTCTATAGTCAAACATGTATTTCAGACACTTAAGAAGAATCACTAAAAGAATAGGAAGTATGACTTCTAAGATAGAAAAGAGAAAAAGTTAGTAAAGGGTATTAAAATATAATGGCAGGCAGAAAAGAAGAAAAAGGGAGCAACGCAAAAAACTTATTTAAATGGTGCCAAACCAGAGGTAGGAAATGTTCTTTTTAAAAAATATATATTTTATTGATTTTTACACAGAGAGGAATTGAGAGGGATAGAGAGTTAGAAATGTCGATGAGAGAGATACATCGACCAGCTGCCTCTTGCATACCCCCCATTGGGGATGTGCCCGCAACTAAGGTAAGTGTCCTTGACCGGAATCGAACCCGGGACCCTTCAGTCCGCAAGCTGACGCTCTACCACTGAGCCAAACTGGCTTTGGCTAGAGGTAGGAAATGTTCTACGTTCATCCGCTAAAGCAGAGATGATCAAGTTGGTCAAGAAAAATAAAATGCAGCTTCATGCCACTTACCAGAGGACATTTAAGACCTCAGGGCACCAAAAGTTTTTTAAAAAAGTATACTTGAGAAAAACTAACCAAAAGGTATCTATAAAAATATCAGACAAAACAGGCTTTAAGGGAAAAGTCATTATTAGGGATAAAGGAGAGTCACCAGTCCAGTCAGCTTAGCTCAGTGGTTGAGTGTCAACCTATGAACCAGAGGCCAGGGCACAGGCCCGGGCTGTGGGCTCCATCCGCAGTGTGGGCGCGCAGGAGGCATCCTATGATTTTCTCCCATCGATATTTCTCTCTCTTCCTCTTCTCTGAAATCAATACAGTTTTTTAAAGAGGTTCACCACAAAAGGACAAATTTTTAAGAAATATGTAACAATTTTAAACTTGTAAGAGGTTTTTTTTTTTTTTTAATATATTTTATTGATTTTTTACAGAGAGGAAGAGAGAGGGATAGAGTTAGAAACATCGATGAGAGAGAATCATCGATCAGCTGCCTCTTGCACACCCCCTACTGGGGATGTGCCCGCAACCAAGGTACATGCCCTTGACCGGAATCAAACCCGGGACCTTTCAGTCCGCAGTCCGACGCTCTATCCATTGAGCCAAACCGGTTTCGGCTGTTAGAGGTTTTTAAAAGGGTTGAAAATGTATAAAGAAAAAGTGACAAGATACAAAGGAAAAGTGTCAAATCCTGTAGCATTGTAGGAGATTTTAATAGTCCTGATCAATGGATCCTGACAAAACCATGAACCCAATCCAGTATTTTACTTTCAAGCACACAAGAAACCTTTATAAGAAAATTGCCCAACTACTGGACCCAAAGATACACTCAACAGATATCAATGAATTCATTTCATACAGACCACATTCCCTGATGATAGACATGAGCAAAATAAACGTCAAATGTTTGAACATTTAAACATTCTTCTAAACTTATTACTCAAAGATAAAATCATATAGAAACTAAAACTGGCTAAAACAAAAAATGAGAAACATAAAAAATCGGGGTGGGGGGGGCATAGTAAGCTGCAATTAGAACATTTGTAACCTTCTTAGGTAAGAAGGAATGTGGAACATGAGCGGTGTCAAAGCATTTTTAAAAGGGGCAACAGCCCTGGCTCAGCTGGTTGGAGCATCGTTCTGTTCACCAAAAGGTGGTGGGTTTGATTCCCGGTCAGGGCACATGCCCAGGTTCAGGGGTTGATCTCTGGTTAGGGCTTATATGGGAAGCAACTGAGAAATGTTTCTCTTCTTTCTTTCTCTCTCATCAATAAGACAAAACAGTCCAGGTGAGGATTAAATTTTTTTAATTAAAAAAAATGAATAAGTGTAAAAAAAGAAAAGGTGAAGGAAGATAATAATGAAAAGCAGAAATTAATGAAATATAGCCAAAACTGGTTTGGCTCAGTGGATAGAGTGCCAGTCTGTGGACTGGCTGTGGGCACATCCCCAGTAGGAGGTGTACAGGAGGCAGCTGATCCCTGTTTCTAACTGTCCCTCTCCCTCTCAGTAAAAAAAATCAACAAAATATTATATGTTATATTATTAAATATTATGTATTTTTATTGATTTTTTTACAGAGAGGAAGGGAGAGGGATAGAGAGTTAGAAACATCCATATGAGAGAATCATTGATCAGCCGCCTCTTGCACACCCCCCACTGGGGATGTGCCCACAACCAACGTACATGCCCTTGAGGGGAATTGAACCTGGGACCCTTGAGTCCGCAGGCTGACACTCTATCCACTGAGCCAAACCGATTTCGGCAATAAAATATATTTAAAAAAAAAAAAAAGAAATTGATGAAATATAGAACAAAAACACTAGTATGGACCACAAAGCTAGATCTTTGAAAAAACACAATAAAATAAACACTAATTTCAGAAGGTACATAAGTATGATATTATCAGAAATGACAACAATAAGATTAGACACTCTATGCCAGTAAATTTAAAACACAGATGAAATGAACAATTTTCTAGGAAAAGATTACTTGCAAGACTAATGCAGAAGGAAAGACACATACCTCAAAAAACCAACTAGTCCAAATAGTTTTCTGTGTGAGCTCTCCCAAGATAAAAGTCAAAACCTTACCTGCAGCAAACATTATACTTACTGGTAAAACACTACGGTATATGGTAAAACGTTAAGCATTGCTTTCTTTAAAGCCAGGGACAAACTTTAAAACTTTTTCACCCCCGAACAAAACGCAGTCTTGTTTGGAAGTCCCTGCCAGAGCACCGAGACAGGGAAAAGAGAGAAAACGGCCATTCACAGGCAGACTGACCACAGAATCCACACACTGAAGAGCCGCTCACTGGAAGTCCGACAACTCGAGACCAAGTTTTAGAGGAAACTTTTTTTTTTTTTAATATATTTTATTGATTTTTTACAGAGAGAAAGGGAGAGAGATAGAAACTTCGATAAGAGAGTCATTGATCAGCTGCCACTTACACGCCCCCTACTTAGGATGTGCCCACAACCAAGGTACATGCCCTTGACCGGAATCGAACCCGGGACCCTTCAGTCCGCAGGCCGAAACTCTATCCACTGAGCCAAACTGGTTCCGGTGAAGATACCCATTTCTTATAAACCAGGAATTTCACTTCCAAGTACACAAGAGCAGGGAAACACAGGCTTGTTTATCGGAGCACTTCATAATGGCCCCCAAAAAGGGCCCCCCCACATGTCCAATTAAATGTGTTGAGTATTCCTATAACAGAACTACACACTGTGACAGGGGGAAGGGGGAGTTAGCAAACGTTCCCTTTTATTTTTTTAATCCATCTTTATTGTTCATATTATTACAAAGGTTCCTCATTTCTTCCCCCCTCCAGGAGGTTCCCACCCCACCCTCCGCTCCCTCCCCACCCTCCTTTGCCCTCATCCATTGGTGCAGTTTATGTTCAGTCTCTTCCCGAATCCCCCACTCCCCCTTTCCCCAAGAACTGTCAGTCCACTCCCCTCCCGTATCTCCGACTCTGCTACAATCAACAGCTAATATTGTTCATCAGGTTTTTCAATCTCCTTTTTTTGTTGTTGTTGTTTTTTTAATTAATAAACTTTTACACTTCTAAGAATAAATTTTAAAATCTAATAACTTTAAACCTTGTTTTTTTCTGCTCTGGGAATTCAGAAGCAAACTTGTTTACATGTAAACTTGCCCTTAGGCTATCAAAAGGCGTAGCCATTCATTGTTTAAAGATAGCTGCTGGCTGGAATTGGATTACCTGTTCTGGGTGGGAAGGGCTTGTCCTCCCCTTTCTCCATTAAAATTAAGGTGTTAGCTTTAAAACCTCTTTTTGGCAAGAGACCTTAAACTTTCAGAACTTTAAGTTTTTCCGATAGTAAATCAGTTACTTAGCATTTTCTCAAATCAATAATACCTCCACATGCCCAAGGATACACTTCACACAAAAGACATTCAGTGGTGCCTCACACAACGAACTTAATTCGTTCCAGGAGCAAGTTTGTTATGCGGAAAGTTCGTTATGTGAAACGCGTTTTCCCATAACAATACATGTTAAAAAAAATAATTCGTTCTGTAGCATAAAATATGCTAAGATGACATAAAAAAAGATAAATTTTTTGTTATTATTTTTATTTAGATACATCATGATATTAAAAAAAATATTGAGTTTAACTTAAAAGGACGACTGCCGTGATACGTGCGTGATTTAATTCGTAATGAAGAACGATTGCCGCGATACGTGCTTAAGTTAAGCGCAGTGACTAACGACTGCCTGCAGTGCCTGCGCGGAAGGATGCAATACATCGGCAGCGGTCGTGGAAGCTCGGGCGACTTCGTTGTGTGAAACGAAGTTCGTTGTATGAATCATGAAATGAAGTTCGTTGTGTGCAGCGTTCGCTGTGCGAGGCGTTCTTTATGCGAGGCACCACTGTTTCCAAATAGATCAACCAACTCATCCAGACCCCACACAAGGCACTCACAGATCAACACCCCAGCGCTATACTAACTCAACACATCCAGATCTAAGCCTTCATCACTTGATTCAGCAGACCCTCAAGCTCCCCCAAAAGTTTCCAGCCATGTCTGAGAGGCGGCCCTGGGGCGCAGGTGAGGAGCGAGCCAGATAGTAAATGTTTTTGGCTTTATGGGCCATATGGTCCCCGGCAACCACTGTTCTGTAGGGCGTGGAAGCAGCCTTAGACCACGGGAACCGGCTTGGCTGTAGCCCAGTCACGTTATTTCCTGAAACCTGTTTGACCTTAGTTCGCTGACTCTTGATCTAGAGCTGTGGGTGTCATGTGGACGTAGCTCACAAACGCCAAGTTGTAGGAGACTGAGTGAGCCTCAGCCAGGAAGAGCGAAGAAGGACTAGGTCGGCTGTGCCCTGGGGAGTGGTTACACCTCTTGTCAGACTGGCCCAGGCTGAGGATGCAGTGAGGGAGGGGACCATCCCTCAGATCTCAAGGTCTGTGCTCACTCTTCCTCTTAGCTGACCCGTCAGCAGGGCTAGCACACCTCCTCCAGTCCTCTGATCTCCTCCCTGCTTCCTCCTCTCCCCCATCTTCTCTGACTGCAAAGGCCTGGCCTTGTCTCTACCTGGAAGTCTAGCAAACATCACAAACATGACCACCCCCAACTGAACTGTGATCTTCCCCTAACATGTAACCTTCCATGTCCTCTGTCATTTTTACTCCTTTCCCCCACTCCTCCCCCTACCCCTCATTCAATCCTTTCCTAAATCCCATTGGTTCTACATTGAAAATATCTCCACCCTGGCCAGGTGGGTCCGTTGGTTGGAGTGTCATCCATACACCAAAAGGTGGAGGGTTTGATTCCCAGTGAGGGCACATACCTAGGCTGGTGTTCAGTCCCAGGTCCGGGAACCTGTGGGAGGCAATCAACCAATGTCTCTCACACCAATGTTTCTCTCCTTGCCCCTCTCTCTAAAAATCAATTTTATAAAAACACACATATCTTGGGTGAGGATTAAAAAAATAAATAAGAGCCCTAGCTGGTTTGGCTCGGTGGAGAGAGCATTGGCCTGCGGACTAAAGGGTCCCAGGTTCGATTCCCACCAAGG